AAGAGTTTTTTGTGCCAAGTAATGAACTAGATATTCAGTGGTGATGCCGCTTAGAGATTCTAACACAAGAAGATGATGAGCAAGATGAGGAAGTGACCATGGAGGTTGAAGTGGTCTATATGTTGTGGGTTATGATGATGAGCTGCCACTTTTGTGAGTATACCAGTGACAACATGTGGTTGGATCCACCAATGGTAGAGATGCTGACTCCTCGGAGAATGAAGAAGTGGAGGAATTTGAAGAGAATCCTTTGCTTGCTGATGCTACTACACTAGCAGAAGCACAAAGGAAGATGCGTCGTCAAATGAAGGCGTAGGATAAATAAATAGCTTAGTTAAATGTCAAAATGATTGAGATGATGACGTAAATAACCATGACCATGATGATGTAAAGAAATATCACTATCAATCCAGCACCTATACAACAAACCAATCATCAGGCGTCAAGTAGTGATCTCACGTAGTTTCTCTCATTTTCTTTCAAGTACTTCATGCACACTACGAATTATCTCATAACAATCTTACAAAAAACTATATATCAATTTGTACCATTGATGGTTATCTCATAATCTTATTTTTTTTTTTTCTAATTCAACTAAGAATACGACAATCACTTGTTGCATGCGTAGTTATCGATAATAATTAACTTAATGGAAACCACTTTTGCACTATCCCTATATGCATCAACAAATATATATTTTAATTCTATATCCACCATTATTCTTGATTTCTTCCTAACCTTCCCAAAATATATAGTTTTATCATTCCTTGTTGTCTTACAATTTCCTTTTCCATTTGTATTTATTAAAAACATGTTATATTTATACTTCTTTTAATGATCTTGCATTTAATTATTTAGCCTTTTTTTTTTTCGAGGGCCCTAAATACCATGCATCAAGTAAAGAAATGTTAATTCCTTTTAATGACGTCTTACAATTTCCTTTTCCATGACCATGGGTTAGAACATTAGCTTGACTACTGATTACAACCACCTAACAGCAGTTCTCAATCTTTTTCATCCAAGCATGAGCATGACAAACTCAATCAAGCTTGTATTAAAAATTAAAAAAATATGAACGTTTATAAAAACCTATAGAAGTTACATTTATCGATGTATTTTACACTATTGAAACCAATCCGCATATTTTTCAGTATGCAGACTGCCAAAAATAATCTAAATGTAATAAAGAAATCTATTGTTAAATTGTAAACTCATTTGAAGGCCTTAACTTTATAATATTAAAGTTGAGCCCTTCAAATGTTCTAATGATTTAACAACAAATTTTTTTTACCCGAGGAAACTTTATAATACAACAATAACAACAAACTTTTACCCCACTGTGTTCAGCTACATGAAATCTTTTTTCTCCATTGTGACCTATTAAGAGTTAAATACTCATCTAAATCTAATAAAGAAATGCCAATTCTAATATTTTCTAAGTCTTTTTAGGTTTACCTTTATTTTTCTTGACTTAAGTCAAATCTATTACATCTACTTTCCTAATTGGGTCATCGGAAGGCCACTGTTTTATGTGATCAAACCATCTAAAGGCGATTCTATCTAATCTTATCTTCCACTGGAGCTGATCCAACCTTTTCACGTATATGCTCATTTTGTATCCTGTCTGAGTAAAGCCACTCATCCACCTGAGCATCCTCATATGTGCAACACTTAACTTAATATTATGCTTCTCTTTTAATGACCAACATTCTACAACATTAAGTATTGTAGGTCTCACTACAATCTTATTGATTTTTCCCTTAAGTTTAAGAGGGACTTTTCTATTACACAACAAGCTCAATGCATTCTTCCACTTCAACCATCCAACTTGAATTCTAGTAATAATATCCCCAAATATTTCACCATCACTTTTACCCAAGATATCTAAAATGTGTACTCTTATTAATGACTTGATCGCCCAAAGTCACAATCCTCCCATTAGATCTATTATTACTAAAATTAAATTTCATATTTTCAGTTTTATATCTACTCAAACGAAAACCTTTAGATTCTAAGGTTGACCTCCATAGTTCAAGTTTATCTTCAACTCTATTCTTATCAACAAGAAAAATATCATCAACAAAAAGCATAAACTAGGGTAAAACTTTTTGCAAATGTCTAGTGAAAACATTTATGGCTAAAGCAAAAGGATGGGCTTAAGGGTGATATGTGATGTAGAGTGCGTTTGGGACGGCTGCAGTTGTCCATAAAGTAGGTTACAAAATTGTTGTACATAAAGTTGCTTTCAAAAATTGATGTACAAAAAGCAGTTCATTTTGTTTTGGAAGTATAACTGTCAAGTTGCTGTGCTGCAGCTGCATAGGATTAAATTACTTTTATATCCTTATATATTAAGATGAAAAAAAATAATGTAAATGTTAAAATTTTCAAAAATATTATATGCTAATAAACTAAGTATTCTAAATAAAAAATTGTATCGATTTTTATGAAATATTTTATACCTATTAAATACCATAATATAATTTCCATAGTTGAAATTGTTCGTGCATCTTACGAGCACGAGCACCAGTGAATACTTCTCTCTTCTTCTTTATCGATCCCAAGAGTCTATGGCCGCCATTATCAACTTCCTCTGCTTCTTCCTCCTCCTTCTATCCCCTTCACTTTCCCTGGTCCCACCTCCCTCCTTATCGACCCCGCATCCGCCTCCGCCCTCCCCCGCCGCCGGCATCTCCGGCGGCTTTCTCTCCATACTACACTCCACCTTGAACCAAATCCAGCAAGTGAGCACCATCGTCTCCACCTTCTCAGGCACCTTCGGCGGAGACCACCGTCTCTCCTCTGCCATCTCCGACTGCCTCGACCTCCTCGACTTCTCCTCCGACGAGCTATCATGGTCCCTCTCGTCGTCTGGCGCAGCCACCACCGCTGTCGTCAACTTCGACACCGGCGACCACCGCGTCGACGTCCGATCATGGCTCTCCGCCGCTCTTGGAAACCAAGACACGTGTAAGGAGAGCCTCTCCTCCACCGGCAGCGTCATCGCCTCCCTCGCCTCCTCCGGTCTCGACACCATTATTTCTATTTTATCACAAGGAATCCGGCAGCTTCCCGGTACGGCGGCAACGGGATTTACGTCATTTTGTTTCTCTTTTTTTTTTTTTTTTTCGTTCAGGAATGAGCGAATATTTGCAGCGGGTGGATGTCATTTTTCTGTCGGAGGCGGTGCTGAAGGCTTCGGACGACGATAGCGAATATTTGCAGCGGGTTTTATGTCATTTTTCTGTTGAAAGCAGCGGACGGCAGCGGACCACGGGAGATACCGAAGGGTCGCGGGAAGCAACTAGGTGCCGCGAATTTTTTTCTGCCGTGATTCTACCGCAATGTCCCAAACAATGGTTTAATAACTTTGTATAAAGTAAAGCAGCAGCACCGCCGTCCCAAACGCACCCGTAATCCAACTGAAATAGGAAAATACTTGGTCAAACCACCTTGTGTTTGAACCAAAGTCACAACTCCTGCATATATATCATTAATGAATTGAATATAAGCATTATTAACCATTTTCTTATGTAGAACTCTCAATACCATTTCTCTTGGAAATTTATCATGTGTTTTCTTGTGTGGGTCTTTGGATCTCTGAAAGGATTTTGCTTATGGGATTCGAATGCAAAGAGTACGACTGCACTGTCCCGTAGGACAAAATGATCGTAGTCCTTTACACTCGACATAAGCAGGCCGATGGAAGAGTAGATTTTTATAATAAATATTCTTATTTTTTATTTTTTCTTGCACATTTTGATTCTATCATAAACTATTTTTATTATTATTAATTTTTCCTTCGATATTCCAAGCACATCTTTTGCAACATTCTTAATATCGCTAGCTATTTTTTTCCACAAACATTAGCTTCTTGATGTACATACAAAAATCTTAAAATCTTGAATTTTACTCTAAAAATATTTTTCTGAATATTTTTTAAATGCACTCATCTAATCCTAGAACAACGATTTCTTTTATTTTTTATTTTCTGCCTCTTCATCTTAAATATTAAAAGAAAATTAATGTTATGAGAAATAATCATTAAGCAACTTCTATGCATATCACATGGTGGATAAGTAAATGATCCAAACAAAATATTAAAACGCATATGTTATTGTTTTAAGGATATTGAATAGTTTGCATGCTTTGGATCTTACTCCTGATGGTGCTAAGTCAAGGCCGATTTATTGTGCATTACATAAAATCATGTTGTAATTGTATTGAGACAAGACCATCAAAATCACTTATCAACTGAACGATGACATACCTTGAAATAGAAAAGAGAAAATGATCAAAATGGTTATTTTAACTATTTTTGAAAAATTAAATGATCATCAATTATATTAAACAATCATTTTGATCTCTCATCTCTTTAAAGAAAAATCAAAATAGTCTTATCATGAGATTATTTTGATTTTTTTTTTTTTTAAGAATTTGAGGGGTTAAAATGACCATTTAATATAATTGAGAATAATTTTGATCATTCATAAAGAATTAACAGATCATTTTGATATTTTTTTCCAAATATAAAAGAAAAACATCTTGTCCTAAACTCTTAGTAAGCCCTAGTATTCTAGCTTATGTATATTTATTTCTAAATTTGTGTAGGCCAAATGATATAATCTGATAATCTGATGATCTTTTTCTGGGACCAATAAATTTTCAGAATCGTTTATAATTTCTTCTCTTTTTGGAGAGCCTACTTTGAGAAGCCATGGAAAGTGGGCCACATAATTCCTCTTCTTTAGGAGAAATTATTCTGTGCGGAATCCGAATGTATTCGGAGATAAATCCGGACGCGTCATGTCACCTGATGCACTGGGCCCCAATGATGTGGCCTGCCCGGATGCACTGGGCCCCAGTGATGTGGCATGCCCGGATTCGCCTACGAACACGTTCGGATTCCGCACTGAATAATTTTCCCTCTTGACGAATACAAGTTTTTGTATTTTTCCTGCAGCAAACTACATATGATTGATACAAAGTTCATTCTTCAGGTGGTTCATTTTAAGGGATCAAGAAAGCGTTTAATGCTGGAATCTTGGAATTATTATAACAAAACTTCAAGCATTCCTGATATGCTGTGCCTCATATTGAGAAGCGGGAGAAGAAAGTACGATTTTTAAAGTATAAGTTCAAATTTGTAAGCCTGGAAGAGATTAATGGCCTGCATTTGTCTTATCTTGTTCTTTGTTCTTTCCCAGTTACAGTTTTAAAGATGCGGATATTTGGTGAATGGTGAGCTTTTTAAGTATTTAATAAGTTGTTTTTTGAGAAGTTTATTTAAAAAATGTGGTTGAAAATGAGTTTTTAAAAGCACAAGTAGGAAAATATAAACTATTGCAAATGAAGGTTTTGTTTGGAATAATTTTTTTTATTGTTTTTTAAAATAATTTTTTATTATAAAAAAAATTTTAGTTAATTTTTTTTATTAAAAAATTATTTTAAGCAGCAATAAGAAAGTATTCTTAAATTAAATGAAGTTTAAGTCTTGGGCTTCTTTTGGGACGACTTTCTTATTATTTTTAGTAAGAAAGTCATTTCAAACAAAGCCTTAGGCTTGGCTTGGGGCATTTTTTTACTATTTTTAGGACGGCTTTTTAGTACCAAAAATTTTAATTCAAAAGATTTTTTGCTAAAAAGTTATTTTAGAAAGCAACAAAAAATTTGTAAGATAAATTATATATTTATTGATATTTTGTTATATCATAGAGTGGAAATTGCACATTTTTATATTTTAAATCAAGCATTGTTTGTGTTTTTATCTATCAATAAAATCTAATTTTTATATTCTAAAAAATTCCTATATTTTTATATCTAATGTAAATGGAGTGGGCAGTCCATTGGAAAAATTTTGTATATGAATTTTTTGATTAAAAAATAAAAACGAGTCTAAATTTATTTTAAAATTAATATTTAAAAAAAAATATCTTTGAGATCTATTATGTTCAAAATTTTAGTTGTGAGGATAATATCATGTATATGATATATATTATATCTTAATATGATCACTATGATATAAATGCAAAAATATGAAAATTTTTTTTACGATTTTTTAATAATTTAATTATATTGTATAACGGTTAAATTACATCTAATAAATTAATTATATTGTCTAATAATTTAATTGTATAGATAGATAATATATGATATGTGAGATTAATAATATTAAAATAAGCTCATCCTCTATGCAAATCTTTTTGTCATGCTTTTTAATTTTGACTTCGTTTGGACAGTTTTCTAAATGTTTTTTAAAATAGTTTTTTAATATAAAAATATATAGTTCAAGAAATTTTTGTATTAAAAAGCTGTTTTAGAAAACATTAAAAAAGTCATCTCAAACAAAACCTTCGACTGCTAATCTCGTGTTCGATCTATTTCTTTAAAGTGTTCGATCTATTTCTTTAAAGCGACATTCGCCATTACTTGGAAACTCTTAGAATTTGTTAATAAAAGTTTATGTATTAAATTTAACAGTTTAAATACAAGTAATTTTAACAATTCCACTTCTCAATTCTGAGAATTCTTGCTCGCCTAACTCTTTTAAATCTTTTAAATTAATATGTATTACAGGGATTTCAAAAATATTTTCATATTTCATTATTTTTAAGATCATGGTCACAGAGCTAGATTATAGATTAACTTTTCTATCCTGAAAAGAACAAAAATTAATTACACATAGCAACACAAAAAATGATAGGTCAACTTTGTCTCTTTTCACTCACTTGGGGGAGTGTATTGTTCATCATTGATGTGAATGTAACTTCGATCCGCAATATGTGTTGAAGTCAATGTTTTGACATCAAGTTGTATTTTGTGAATTGTTGAGTCAGAGGATCCCTTAAGAGTACTCGCTCTCGGGTCATCCCTCTAAACTCACCCCAATGTATCTCTAATCTTCGTTATTGTTTCTCTCCTCCATCTAGATTAAATTGGGTCAATTGTGAAGTTTTTGTTCTTCATCATATTAAAAGACGATTCTTTATTTTATTGCTCTTTATGCAATTTTTTGCTCTTGGTCATAATCCAAACTTGTCACACTTTTTCAGATTGTTTGATCCAAATTTATCTATGCGTGAAGCTTGACCATATTGGTAAGTCGGGCTAAGTATTGCAAGAGACCATGAGGGAGAGCAAGTAAGTGTGGAGAATAGCTAAAAGTCAAATAGTCTCTATGAATAATCAAAATAGCATGTAGCCTGAGTTATGCCTAAGAGGGCCACTAGAAAGGTTAGACTTAAAAAAGAATTAATTCATAATCTAATAAGTACAAAATTGGTACAGATATATGGACTTGGCAAAAATGCACACTTGTATCTATTTCTAATATGGCTCCTGAAGTCTTTGTACAGTACCCAAAGCGAGTAATTAGTCATTCTAAGAAAGTGCCTAAGGTTTGTCTTTGAAGATGAGTGCCTTGAATGAGTCCTCCATGATGAATATCCTAGGCAAGTTATTGAAGGTGAGTGCCTTGAATGAGTCCTACACGATGAATATCCTAGGCAAGTCCGTGAAGGCGAGTGCCTCAGATAAGTGGGGAATGACAATATGCTTTGACTTGGGATTTTAAAAAGAGTACCATACTCCCATTAGAGAAAGAAATTTTTGCAAAAATCATAAAAAATTCTTTCCAAACAAGAGAGAATGTCACTATCCAAAATTTATTAGATTTCATTAATATTAATATTAATTTTATACTTAACAATTCTTATCAAATAAAAAAAAATTCACATTCTAAATAAGTGAAAAAATTATTATTTTTTAAAAAATATTTTTATTTACAAACTACCAAAAGCCGGCCACTTTAAAAAAAGCATTTAGGCTCCCATAGTCGGCAAACGAACCCATGTGAAAGGCAACAAGTAAATGCCTATTATTGGAGAGGTTACATTGACTGAAGAAAAATTAATAAGATCTTATCTGAGCTAGGACATTTGGTGCACCAAATTTCCACAAATATAGGAGCAGGAGAAATCAGAAGCTTTCTTCTACCATGATGATGCATATTTTTTTTAAAAAAAAAATGATGCATATATAGTTTTAGGGACATTTAAATCAATTAAGTTAAATTTCCACACATATCACATATTCAAGACTCGAATCTAATATCTTTTGGTTGATAGCGAAAGCTCACAACCAAGAGATCAAGATGAGCTGTGTATGTGCTAAAAATCCGACCTGAATCCGACTCAAAAAGTTGAGGTTTAGGTCAACCTTAACCAGGTTGGGTTCGGGTTGCAAATACTATGGCATGTTAAACAAAGTGAATATTTGGGCATGTTGGACTTAATAGAAGCTTTCAACAAATTCTAGTCATTGGCCATAAATCTGGTTGCAAATACTAATCATCGTTCGAATTGTATAAATTAATATAAAAATGTAAGCATATAAAGTTCCCAGTTTCCCACAACTGACTTGTTAAATCTTACATTCTTGTAAAAAAAAAAACTAGTTTTTCTTTATCTTATTTTTTGGATTATTCGTACTTTTATCTTCGATAATTCTATGTTTTTGATGGATCTATCAACATTAAATCATTCATCTTTCTAAGCGAATTTAAAAAGTAATAAAATAAAAAAATAATCCAAATGAAGCCTTAGTTGAACTAGAAAACAACATCAAAGACTTTTTTTTAACACAAACTTAAATATTCTTTTTCTTTGAGATTTTCCTTTTTACGTTTGTATATTTTATAATTCATATTCTTGCAATAATTGTGTCATAATTGTAGGATATTGTGGGTCAGATCTTCCTGCATTGTAATATTTTTATTGCAAAAAAAAAGTTAAAAAATGATTAAAAGATTCCCAAATCTTCAACCAAATGAGTAAACAATAGCAATAAAATCAAAACAAGGCATCACAGGCAACCATACAAAATGCAGGAAAAACTTAGGTAGTTATTATCAATTATTAATGATTTGATCATGACATTTCAAATTTGATTAGAAAATTAAACAAGAAAATAAAGAGTACATGAGACGTGTAGCCAAAAGCAAGTATCAGTGTATGTTGATAAGGTTTACCCTTCGTTTAAATGAACAACTTGAAATCACCAACTTTCTCTACGAAGTTTTAGACTTGCTTGAATAAGGCTTCATTTGTGATGGCTTCTTAGCTGCTTTCTAAAATAGTTTTTTAGTACAAAATTTTTTTGAATTATAAATTTTTATACTAAAAACATTTTTATAAAGTACTAAAAAAGCTGTACCAAACGAAACCTAAGTTGTGGGTGAGAAGGCCTGGTAAAGCTTTGGATGAATATATTCATTCCCAAAAAGTTAATATTTTCACAGCAGTTTATAGCCGCGATTTTAAAACCACCGCTATAAAATATTGCATATATGAGACGTTATGCTTCATATAATATTTGTGTGAACTCTTATGTTATAATTTATAATTTGATTTTTTTAAATTATATTTTTTTAATCTATTGTTCCCTTTAGCAGTGATTTTAACATCCGCTAAAAGCGTTGCTAAAACCTTCCTATAGCATCACTCATAAAACCATGCTAAAGCTTTTCCAGCAAATGCAAATATAACGGATTTGTAGCGATTTCTAAACCGTTGCAAATAAATTAGTATGTGTTTGAACTGTTGCAGTAGATCCTAATAAGTGTTGCGAAAGCCTGATTTATTATTAGTGATTATGACAAGTTTAGTATGAGAATGATGAGTTAGTCATGTTCTTGAAGAGCTCATCGTGTTCTCGAAGAGCTCATCATGTTCATAATAAGTTCATTGTGGTCTCGGTGAGTTCATTATGGCTTTGACAAGTTTAGTGTTTTAATCCCTTCGATTCTATCGAGTTGTCTTAAATTGGGCCAGATTGGTTTTAAAATAGATGCTTGAAATATCTATCCTTTTTAAAAAAATATATTTTTAATAAAAAAAAATTTCAAAATTATTTTTATTCATATGCTATGATCCTTCACCATTTTACAAATTTTAATTTTTTTTTTCTTGGTTTATTAAAATGATTTATAGGAGACAATATATGGTACAAGTCTTATTTATTTAGGTATTGCAAGGTATCCATAAGATAAATTACTAGACATAAGAAATAATTTTAATCATCTATGAACGCAAATATACTCTATAACACAAATCACTATATCTAACACATGGAGTTAACAAACTCTCTTATGAATTAATTAATCTAGTTAATCAAAAATAAAAAAAATATCTCAACACTTCAAAAATTACTTAAATAAAATGCAAAAAAATCCAATCATTTCTAATAATTATTTTTATTAAGAATCCTTCGCCAATTTTCAATTTTTAATTTCATAAAAACAGTAGTGTGTGCCGCACTAACATTAAAGAATTCTTTTATATTTTCTTCATAATCAACTATACATTAGTTATCATTAAAAGCCATAGGGGCTATAGTAAAAGGATGGGGACATTATACCAACTTGTCTGCCATTTATGATTATAGTTTGGATGGAAGATAGTGCTTCACAGCATCATATGAATTTAGGTTATGGTTTTTTCAAGCAACAATATGCATCATTAATCACAATTGGAATTAATTAAATCATAAGAATTTATAGAAACCATATTTTAATATAAGTTTATTTTTTATTTATTTTGCATTTTAAAAATTTATTAGGGCTCCCGACATCAGGGACAAACTTTACTTAGGTCATGTATTTGGAAATCTTTCACTCGTCTGAGTGATTCATTATAACTCATTAATATATTACTTGTCAAAAAAATGTTTAGCTCTCGTGTATCTCAACCCCGGTCCTTTTCTGGTTTCATTATCCCTAATAAGTGATAGTAGAGCTAAATTTAGCAACGATGAAGTGTTTCATGTAGTTTGTGGCTCTCATGAGAACTTCTGATCATAAGTTAGAAAAGTTCAAGATATGGGTGTCAAAAATTGACACGACACGAAAATCTAACTCGATCCCGACCCAAATTTTTTGGGTTAGGGTCAACCCCTTTTAAGAATGGGCCAGGTTCAGAGCCTGATTTTCGACCCATTTTGACCAGCTGCTTGCACCGCACTCGCTTGCGTCAGCCTCACTCGCGTCCACTCGCGTTCTCCCGCCGCCAAAACGTGATCCCCTGATTGTGTATGCTTGCAGTCTGTACTCCACACCGCCGACAATGAGCCTTCCTATCCCTGCTTGTGTCTGCACCCGCTCTAATCGCATCTACTCGCCATCGTAGCGTGATCCCCAACTCGCGTCCACCCGTAGTCCACACTGCTGGCAGCAATCCTTCCCTGCTTGCCTTTAGACTCAGCACTCGGATCGGCGCCCGCCCATTTTATTATAGGTTTGCGGGTTGGGTCGGGTTAACCCAATAACCCATGCGGGTCAGGTCAGAGTTGGAATTTCTAACCCATCTAACAAAATGGTTGGGTTTGGGTCGTGTCAAACAATAGCGGGTCAATATTGGGTTCGACCCGAACTCGACCCTCAACTCAATTATGAAACCCCTAATTTAAGGGTAGATGACTCACATGATGTCTACCCATGGTTGAATGGACTCTTAAAAATAGTTGATGCTTGATGATTCTAAAAAATTTCATTTAGATACGTAGAGTGAAGTGATAACTGATGTGAAAAGCTCTCACATTAGGGAAATATTATTAAACTGTGTGAGACTTGAGTTTAGTTGTACATCATACATTAAAAAGTATGTTAGTGTAGAAATATCAAGTGATTTCATTTCTATGACTATTGATATATCTTCAAAAATTAATATTGATTGTGTAGGAATCTTGAGGCAGAATCAAGTTGGAAACTTTTGAAATTAAATTCAGAACCATCCGAACTCTAATTTCAACAAATTTATTTTTGAACTGAACGTCTCAAAAAGATGAACCCAACAACACCAAATTCGACCAAATCCGAGCTCAAATGGGTCCTAAAGCACCTTTTGAAGGTTCAAACCATAAATTGAATGACCAAACATTTTTCAAATGTGACATGGTTATAGTCGAATCTAGCGGCTTGACGAGACGAATCCAATGAGCTCATGATCGTTGAATTCTGATATCATTTAGACACTCAAATACTCAATAAATGATCCATAATCAAAAGGGTCGTCCATTCAAACCACTCTACATATCCTTGATTTTCTTCTTATTTACTGATTATGACACTCCCAAAAAACTATAAATAAACATCTCATTTCTCATGGAAGGGGGATCCAAGCAAGAAAGTAAGGAAGAGAAGGAAAAAAAGAAACTAGAATGGGGACTAAGACAAAGACAGTGACAATGAAGGGAATGAAACAACAGGAAGGGGAATAGTATTGAAATAGAATAGTTGTTTTAAGTTAGTAACTTTTTAAGTTTTTTAATTATCATTTATTTTTATTATAGACCATTTGATCTAAAATCAATGGCTCAAAATGCATCTTCTCTAAACCATCCATTTTTTTTGAAACCAACATCGATTTTTTTGTTCACTTACCAACATTTCAAGGTGGGTTTTTCCAATTTCGTATGAATATGGTTCTACAAAAAGATTGAATCGGTTGGCTGACCAGTTCCCAATTCAACCAGTTAAATCACTCCAGGAAAATCAAATTATTGCAGCGGAAATATCCACCGTAAAATAAGTGAAATCAGTCGCAAGTTTGTGTTTGAGGCAAATTTGTGATTAATTCTATTTCAACGGTAAAAGTTGCATCGCAAAAGTATTTGCGATGGAACTAATATGTCGCAAATATTTTACATTGGATTTACAGTAGATTTACTATGAAATTTTATTGAAGAAACAACAGCTTTATTTTTGCAAAACACAACAGATGCCGTCACAAATTATGACGAAGTTACGGAGGATTTGCGGCGGAACAACCACTTCAAATTGCAGCGGAAATGTAGTTGTAAATTTCGATGGATATTCCGCCGCAATTTGTGATAGATTTTATTGTCACAAAATACGATACTCGTTAATCGTTTTTATGGTTGTGGGAATTTTTGCCACAAATTTGTCATAAACCTATACCATAAATAAAAAAATTGCTTATACAATCAGTTATTGAACTTTTTAATAATAACAATCCAAGCAGTTTAAAAATAGTAGTTAATTATAGTAATGTTTTAATAAATAATACTAAAATAAATATAAGAAACACACTTTTGTATAATCACATTCAAACTGCTCAAATGAATAATCACATTTCAAAAATTCTACAAATCTAACACTATTAAAGTATCAATAGTTCTTATACATTTAAACAAATAACATGCATCAAAAACTCTTACACAAACAATCTAAGCGGAATTTATATCCTCACTCTCCTGCTTGGCCAATGCAGACGCAGGATGATTTCTGCCAATCAGCTATCTCAATCTTCGAAGCTCATTCAATATCTAAATGTTAATGTCCGCTTGTGATTTTCAAACATATTCTAGCTTTGTTGTCAAATTTGTCACATGTTAGACATACAAGCTCTCCTTGCTATTTGTAGAGTAGCTGGAGGAAGAAGAGGATTGCCCCTAGTATGTGTAGGCCTGCAAATCTATCGCAAGTTTAGAGAAAAAAAATTATGCCACAAAGGCTGCTGCAAATTCGCCGCAAATTGCTAACTTTCCTATAGTGAATCGGTCCGTCTTGTCTTGTTTTTAAAACCTTGTCTTGTTTTTAAAACCTTGTCTCGACAAAAAATTGCTATAAAATTGCCTAAGATTCGAGAAATTTTGTCTTCACTTTAGATGCCATAACAATATAGAATCATACCTTATTTATAAACTTTAAGGTGCTATCATGATTATTATAAATTTAGTAAAAACTGCAAATACTCTAATAAGTTCTAATAATTTGAGTGGGCTCAGTATCCAAATAATCTCAACTTCGGATAAATTTGGTGCCATAGAATTCATGTGATGGGATAATTTTTTGACAAAAATTTGTTAAATTTAGAGTTCATTTAAATAGTCAAATTATTTTCAAAAGACACCTATTTTTTTTAATTGCATTTAGATCTTATTTTATATAAAAAGTATAATTAAATAATAAGATTTATAGATTTCCACAAAATAAAAATCAATATAACTATGATTTTTATTAGAGGCGGAATCACGTTAAAGAATAATGACCAAAGTAGTGCAACATTATCAAATGTATTCAAGTTTAGCATTTCATATATATTTTCACTAGAGAGGACTAGCAGAGATCTGCTATATATTCACCAGTTTTTGCAGCATATCAATATTGGGTCTGTCAATGGATCGGGATTTGATCACGACTTTGCACCCTCTAACAATTAAGGTCGGTTCCACCCCTGATTAAATATGATATACATAATCTTATCCAATTCTATTGCAACTATATATTCTTTTAAAAGATAAATTTTACAATCCTTTCTTTACTTATTCTATTTTCATGAAATTCTGCGTACTTCATGCGGAGCAACACTAATGCTTCGTTTCGTTTGGATTAGTTTTCTTATTATTTTTAAGATCTCGTTCAAATAAAATTTGTGCTAAAATAATACTTTAGAAAACAATAATAAAACTATCAAATAAAATTTAATCCACATCATTTGATTTTGCCAGGTAGGAAATTATGATCCTGAATCCAATATCAAATTTGATCCATTCAGGATGTCATTCCTACAGAGCTCTCAAAAAATAATTGAAAAAATTTAGTATGAAACTGTGACATCTTCAAGAATCTGCTGATTTTTTATCATAGAAGAAGACAAATAAAAATCAGATTTTTCTTAAAATTTCACGTCGCCAATACGCCAAGCCATAGCTTCTCCCGTCAATCAGCTCCAGTTTCCTTTAGTCCAACATCAACTACAGAGCAGGTCAACGACTCTCCCCAGCCTTTAAAGTACATTTCTTCATCGCGATCTCCTCTCCCTCCCCTGTTTCTTCTCTTTCATCGTCGCCGTCTTCTTCTTCCAATACTATTTGCACTTCTTCTTCTTCTTCTTCTTCTTATCCGCCGCTTCTTTGATTCGTAATCCAAGGTCTAAAGCGCAGAAAATTCACATCAAACACGAAAAGGTGCGGTTTTTTTTATCGTTAACAAAGTAATTACAGATCAAAATTGAAAAAGATCAAATTTTTACAGGTAACAAGAAAGCTTTAGTTATCCTCCCCTCTTTAGACTGTGATATCCAGTTTCTACTCGGCTTCTGTTCATCTTACTCACTGGAGTTCTAATCTTGACTCTGAAAAGCTGATATTTTTCAGAAAACACAAAAAGGTGAGGTTTTTACAGGCAACTTGGACAATCCTTATCAAAATGAAAGGGTGAGCTCAGTGAGGCTGTAAATGTCCTCCCATGTTTAGCCTGTGATCTGATATTTACCTTCCGCTTCTCTTCTTCTTCTTCTTCTTCTTCTTCAGGTGAGGCTGTTATGGGCTCTTCTTCTTTCTCCATATCCACCTCTCCTCCGGTCACCGACTCCCACCCAGAAGGCTTCCTTCCAACCCCCACCACCGCCCTCCTCTCCTCCTCCCCTCCCTCTCCTATATCCAAAACCTCGATCTTCCTCTTTTCCATACTCCTCTTCATCACCTCCATCTCTTTCACCTTCGCGTTCCTCTTCTCCTCTTCTTCCTCGTCCACTTCTGTGTCCACCGTCTTTGCCCGCCACCTCTCCTACCTCGTCCACCCCACCGTCATTCTCATCTCTTCCGACGGCTTCCGCTACGGCTACCAATTCAAATCCAATTTACCCAACATCAACCGCCTCATCTCCAATGGCACCGAGGCTGTTCCTGGCCTCATACCGGTCTTCCCCACCCTCACTTTCCCCAACCACTACTCCATCGTCACCGGCCTCTACCCTTCTGTCCATGGCATCATCAACAACCACTTCGTCGACCCGAATTCCGGCGAAAGATTTACAATGGGCAGCCATGAATCCAAATGGTGGCTCGGAGAACCGCTCTGGGAAACAGTCGTCAACCACGGCCTCTCCGCCGCCACCTACTTCTGGCCTGGCTCCGAGGTAATCAAAGGTTCCTGGCATTGCCCACGAAAATTCTGCATGAAATATGATGGCTCTGTTCCCTTTGAGCAGAGAGTTGATACTGTTTTAAATTACTTCGATCTTCCCAGAAATCAAATCCCCGTGTTCATCACTCTCTACTTTGAAGATCCAGATCACCAGGGGCACCAGTTTGGCCCTGATGACCCCGAAATCACGTCTTCTGTTATCAGAATTGATGATATGATCGGTAGATTGATTCATGGATTGGAAAAAAGAGGAGTTTTTGAAGATGTTGCTGTAATTCTCCTTGGCGATCATGGAATGGTTGGAAATTGTGATAAAAAAATAATCTTTCTCGAAGATATATCGCCATGGATCAAAATTGCTCCTGATTGGATTGAATCCCTTTCACCTGTGATCGCCATTAGACCTCCTTCAACTGTTTCTGCATCTGAAGTTGTCAAAAAGATGAATGAAGGGTTAAGCTCAGGAAAAGTAGAGAATGGACAAAAGCTTAAGATGTTTCTAAAGGAAGATTTGCCTAAACGTCTCCATTACGCTGAAAATTATAGGATTCCTCCCATTGTTGGTTTACTTGAAGAGAGCTACAAGGTGGAGAATCAGAGATCGAATGAGAAGGAATGTGGAGGATCCCATGGATATGATAACTCATTCTTCTCGATGAGGACAATTTTTATAGCTCATGGGCCTCAGTTTGAGAAGGGAAGGAAAGTTCCTTCTTTTGAGAATGTCGAGATTTATAATATGATTACTGAGATTCTGAAGTTGGAAGGAGCTGCAAATAATGGCTCTGCTTCTTTTCCAAGCTCAATTCTTCTGCCTAGAAATTAAGTTTGGCTGGTTTAATGGAAGCTTTGGATCTTAATTGTGTTTAGTTGGAATGTTTTGATGAGTTTGGGTTGATAAATAATGGCTTTGTTTTTTCTTTACGTTCTTTGCACTGCATGGACAACATGCATACTAAGAGCTCAACGATTCTTATAGATGGCAAGTTTAACTCCTTGTAATGCCATATGAGGGGGTGCAAAAGCATATGTTGATGAAGCAAGGGAAGGATTTTGTGCCAATTAGTAGGTGATAAAGTTGAGAGATTATTACGTGTGGAGTCCGGACGCAGCTTTTCATCCGGGCTCCAATTCTGTAAATACACTTGGACATTCTCTCTTGTACACATCCTGTATACAAGAGAGAAAAAAAATTCAAATATTTTCATATGATTGGAGTCCGGACAACATTCAGACTCTAAGTCTCATGCACCCTTAGAAATAAGGCAACAATTCCTACTAAAGCATAGGTGAGGGAGCTATATATTATATTATGAGAGAGGGAAGTTATGGCTATTGAGAAATGAGCAACAAAGACATTGCTCATATAACATGATATTTGAATTGTAAATGTTGAATAAAGTGATGGTATTCCTTGAACATTGAACTTCTATAAATATCTAAATTATTTTAATCAAATTTTAAGTGATTTGATGAATGCATCTATTTAGTCAAATAAATTTCTCCTTAGTAAAGATGATCCCCCTCGTAAAAAAAATAAAAATAAAAATTTCGGGCCTTTATAGTAGACTTATTCTTGATCAATTGATGTATGACAAAATGTAAACTTATGCTCAATGTAGATGTATGAAAGATTATATTGTTGGTTTTTAGATTTTTATGATTAAAATTTGATATAGTACACAATCAAGACCGAATTAATAGTATGAATACAAGAATATATTAGTGAAATATGATTCCAATTCCTCCTCTTTGTTTTAACCCTCAATAAGTTGAAAATATGATAGGTATATGAACGGTTTAACTCATGATGACCTCATAAAATTCCAACAATTTTAACTGCAGTTAACCATAACAATTACTTGAAACAGTTATACCATCTCCAACCAAACTACATAGAATGATATGTCATCCGCCATTCGTTCCATTTGAATGCTAAATCGCACATCAAAATTCGGTAGGTGAACAGTGCAGCGTCGCATTGTCACCTGCACCAATTTTTTGTGTTATGGGATTTGCCGAAGAAGCGCGTGAAAGAGGAGAAAGATAGTTACCTTCGCAGCGAAATGAAGACGCGTGCGAAAGAGGAGAAAGAAATGGAGTTTGATTGAAGATGCATTACTGCATTTTGTACTGCATTTTGGAGTGGAGAATGAGTTTTTCGGTTGGAGATGCCCTTACAACTAGTGAAAGTTTTCTGCCACAATTTTATCGTTGCAGTAAGTCTTTTTCCCTGGCTAGCATTGACTCACTTCTTCTCCACACATTTTGCCAAGAACCTTCATCCTTCCTTGGGAAAATTATTATATCCGGCGTCCGGATTCATCTGGAGGCGAATCTGGACGCGCCACGTCACCCGGACCCCGGTACATCTGGGTGGGTCTGGGTGACGTGACGCATCCGAATTCGCCTCCAAATGATTCAAACGCCGAACGTAATAATTCGCCCCTTCCTTGACCTCCAGCTGCTACTCCCAAACCTCTCAATCACCAACCAGCTGGTTGCTCGCTCTTCTCATGAGCTCACAAATCATGACAAAACTTCTCTGCACAATCCTTCTCCTTTTCAAGCATCGCCGTTATTGCATCTCTTAAATTTTGCTGCTGTACCACTTTTTTGTTTGCTATTAACTAATGTGGATGTTTATGCACTGGCTGAGCATAAAATTTTGACTTAAAAAATACCTTCAAGTTTTTTCATTTTAACTTGAAATTTACCGTTGTGCTTTTAATTTTTTTCATTATTTTTTAATTATAAGAAGATAAATTTTATGATAATGAAAAAAAAAAAATTATTGTCATGCTCATCTAGAATAATTTCATCACAAATTTATTTAAACTATATATTATCATACTAATCTACTTTAACTATTCTTCTATCGTATATTTTCATAACTAATTTAAATAAAAATATAACAAAAAAATATTTTGCAACGAGCAATAAACATATAAAAAAACTACATCTTTTTATTAAAAACTGTATCTTTTTATTATACTCTTCTACCATATCTTAAGCTATTAGATTTAAAATTAAATCTTATAATTATTCTTCTTAAAACTTGTCTTGATCAAGCACGAATCTCGAGGCATATTCAAGTTGAAAACTTTCAAAATTAAATTTGCGATCATTTGAATTCCAATTTCAGCAAACTTATAGTCAAATTGAACATCTCAAAGGGACGAACCAAATAGCACAAAAATTGGTCCAACCCAAGCCCAAATGGCTCCGAATCGGGAGCCCGGACCACATTTGGAAGGGTTAAAGCATTATTTGGATAATGAAATGATATCCAAATATGGCATGCTTATAGTCAAATCTAGACCTGTCAATATTTGACCCGACCCGAAAACCCGACCCGAACCCGACCCAAAATTTTCGGGTTTGGGTTGACTCGAACCCGAAGCGGGTCGGGTTCGGGTCCGGGAAACCGACCCGTTTGCAAAAACGGGTCGGGTTCGGGTTGACCCGACGGGTTG